CTACTGAAGGAATTTCGAGATGTGCTCACTTAGACATATGAGCAAATGCCCCGATTGGATGAAAAACTTGTCACTCATGAGTTGGACATCTCTCTTAGAACCAAGCTAATAAAGCAGCATACACAAGTATTCCATCATGAGATAGAAAACTAGATAGAGGGAGAAATTAACAAATTCCTTAAAGTTGGATTCATCAAGCCAATCCATCACTTAACTTGGCTAGCAAATGTGATACTTGTAACCAAGAAGAACGGAGCAATCCGAGTGTGTGTGGACTTTAGAGATCTAAACAAAGCTTGTCTCAAGGATGGTTTTCCTCTTCCAAACATTAATACTCTCATGGACGTTACAACTAGTCATGAGATGTTTTTGTTCATTGATGGATTTAGCAGATATAACCAGATAAAAATGACACCTAGTGATGTAAAGAAGATAGTTTTTAAAGCCCCATATGATAATTTTTACTATACAGTTACGCCATTCGAGTTGAATAGGTGTAACTTATCAACCTGCAATGATAGTAGCTTTCCATGACATGGCCTTAGCTGCTGGCATGCAGCAGCAGCAGTACCAAGCTTCGACTGGGTGCCAAGCAACAGTAACAATAAGGCCGACCTTGATTGTTGCGAGGCAATAGTAGCAGCAACACCAAGCTCGTGCTATGCGGTGGCAGGCAGGCAGGCAGGCAGCGACAGCAATACCAACCTTGGCTACTAAGAAGCAGCAGTAGCAAGACCGACTTTGGTTGACGACATCACCAAGCTCCCTAATTCAAATCTATTAATACATTCTTGAATGTAACGATTAAAAATTCACATAATGCTTTTTTATATTTTTTCTACCAAGAATGTATCAATACATCAATGAATGTATCAATACATTTTCTCCAAATTGCACATTTTCAAGTCCCTAAACTTTTTTAGTCCAAATTTTGAACTCCATAACCATTTCTTGTTAAATCACACTTCAACATGACCATATAACTCATAATTTCAATTCATATGTTCAAGTCACGATCTAATATTCATCAAACTCCAAAACATACTAGTTTTCCAATACTTTCTTCAAGAATTTGGCTAAGTATCTTAATTCAGAATCTCATATTCCAAACATACAAACAACACATCAAATGTCCTCAAACATGCCAAGATTCTAAGTAAATTTCTATGAGCATAGTCATATTCATAAGTCCACAAACATACACATCAAGGTTCAAGTTAACTTGTCAAATAACATAAACAACATCACACATAACCCATATCAAAGTTAGGGGTGTTACATCAACGATCTCCCATAGGTCATAGGCCCTCAAATAAGCCTCTATCTTAGTTGTCCAAATATGATAATTTTGACCCAAGAAAATGGGACGAGTAGTAACGCTAAAACTTGAAGAAGCCATTTGAGTTATAGCTAAAATGAAAAAAATTAGTAACGAAAACATAAAGAGTTTGAAACCAAAGATAATTGGAAAATAACGCTTAGAAAAACCTCTCCAACAGTCCTCAAGATCCATTTAAGAGCTGTAAAATGTACAGAATAAAATAATTTTTCAAAAAAGACCCAGAAAGAATTGAATGGAGAAAAGCTTCAACTTATAATCATTCACGGTTATATTTTTTTGTACAATAGCATAGAAGAGAGAACGACTGAATACTTAGTGGCTAGCAGATACCATGTTTCACTTAGCTAGGAATATTGTTGCCAAGGGACTACCTGACACCTTGGCTATTTACACAAGAGCCTTACAAGAATAAGGAAAAAACAACAAAACGGTAGTTTAAATAGTAAATAATTTGATGAGGAAATCACATGCTCTTCATATTGCCTACAAGTCATCTTCAACTTCAACTCCAATTTGAAACCAGCAATTTGGCGCGCACCTTGCAATCTAGTAACTTAACCTCAATTTCATCATATGGAATCATTCTTTAAGAATTACAACTTAAAATTTTTATCCAAGAAACAAAGTAATTAAGACACCTCTTAAAAAATATAGAGAATTCATAAAGGCAAATACAAGTTACCTTGCTTTTTATTTTGTACATAATTAAAGACCCCTGCAATCACAAAAGTTTAAAAAGAACTTTAAGTTGGTTACCCTCCATATCTTTTTTTTTTCTCTTTTAATTGAACAAGATCCTTCACTACGTCAATATGCTTCCTAAATCACCAAGACTATAGAGAGCAAATCAGAAGGTATTGAAAGAACACATGAGAATAAAAAAATTAATGAGCTCATATCATGGACAAAGGAACCTTATCTATTTGTCCCAATAGAGTATTAGAGGGAGGGTGAATAGTATTTTAAAATTATTATGAAGACTGCTCTTGTTTTGAAAATTTTTTTGTAAGATAAATAAAGGAAGGTTTAAAACTTGTTAAAGTTAAAAACACACCAAATAAAGAAGAGGTAAAGAGGAGTGAACAAAACACAAGTGTTTAGAGTGGTTTGGTCCCTTTGACCTACATCCACTAGCTTGATTTGCCAATAAAGGATTTTCAACCCAACTTTACTAAACCAATGAAATTAACAGCTTCCACCACATTTTTACAAAGTGAGCTTCTACCCAAACTCTAATCCCTTACAATAAATCTTAGAGTGCTTTTCACACTCTAATCAACCAAGAATAAAGAAGAAAAAGGAATATAGGTACGATAGCCCCTGAGCATTTAGCTCATTGGTTGGTGCATTATCCCCCTGCCTAAAAAGCAGGATTCGAATCGCCCCTCCCCTAATTATAAAAAGAAAAAAAAGAAAAAGGAATACGTGTGATCACCCTAGCTAATCTAAGATAAATACAATCAAGCTTAAACACTTTTACAATAATAGGAATGAAAAGCGTGTGTGTAAAAGAAAGTTCTTTGGCTTTTTGCTCAAAATGTGATCTTAGTAGCTTTTCTCATCTCTTTTTGACCATTAGAGCTTCTTTTCATACTTGAATACTCATATTTTTCTATTAAAGATAGTTTCTAGCCGTTGTGAGCATGTTTGATGTCTTTCTAGTTGTTATTTTGTCTTTTAGCATTTACATTCAAATGGGCAAATAGTTTTTTGTTTATTGGTTAAAGGCAGGCTTTAACTGATTAAGCGTTATCTATCTTGTATTGTCTGACAGCTCTTTCTACTATGTTAACTAGTTAAAGATGGTTTTGACCAATTAAGAATATTTTGTTTTTAGACTTTTTCAACCAGTAGTCTTTCTTTAATTAATTTTTTATTTATTTTTTGATGAGGTGGCAATATAAGATTCATTGATGATCTATAGGACCTATTCACTGATAATGCATCAAATATAAACCTTAATTTTATTTATACTTTTGATCTCATCAAAAAGTGATAATGTAATTACAATTAAGGTAAACATCTTTAGTTTTAAAGATCATATATAATTCTAGTAGAAAAATATTACGAGAGACGCGTGTGAGGCAAGTCCTATGAACAAAATTAACCACAAATCCCATCGCCCTTAGCATCCCTTAGCATTTACCATCATTAATTTCCTCTCTTGTTATCAAAAACTATATTCATTCATTAACTCCCAATACAAAAGAAGAATTACTACAAATGCATGAATTAGTAACGAAAACAGTTCCATCAATCAAAGAAATAATTGTCCTTTAAGCCAAATAAATGCCACTTTCAAACAAAAAGTTAAAAAAAAAAGTCAACTCTACTTCCCACCCACCCTAATTTATATATATATATATATAGTTGATTATACAAATAATGGTAGAACTAGGAAAATGTTATTAATTTTGGTAACAAGTCATTTATTATTACTTATGGATTTATTTAATTATGGTGCTATTTGATAAACAGAAAAATTATGTATTAAAGTTTTAGTTTTGAAAAATTCAAGCGCTGAATTTATGATATAAAAATTGTTTAGGATGCAACTTAAAATTAAATATTGAGGTCATTCTTTGTTAAATATTTTGTAAAAGAGATATTGTTAAAAGCTAAAAAGAAAAGAACAAATGATTTAAAGGAAAGAATATTATTTCTAAATATTGAATATCTTCAATGCATTTGTATTGAAAATTTTTTTCGTTAAGTAGTTTTTTCAAAATGAATTATCAAAAAATTATTGAAAGTTTTGATGATTTATCAAACACATAAAACCCTTTAAAATCAATACTAGTATCTTAGTATATACATTTGGGTAGATGAATATTTATTTCACTTATACAGTGGTCTGCATGGTGGGATTGGGCAATGATATGCCTTTTTTTTCTTTGTAATCAAGGAAATGAGAATTCAAACTTTTCTTTTTAGATAAAAGGATCATGCACCAACTAATGAGCCAAACACTCGAATGCAATAATATGCTTCATTATGCATAAACTCGATTTAATTTCAGCTGCGACTAATGTTTAGCTAGTGCTTGGACATCCCCAAATCCAGGATTTAGATTTTATTCATTGGGGTTATATTTTTCTAATTGTAATAAAAAATTAATTTATTTCCATGTAAGCAAGACCTAAAGGACAAATGAATAAATATGGTTTATGTGCTTTTTGGCTATTGATTCTGTCGATAAAAAAGAAAAGGAAAAGAGTAAATTTTTTATTTGGGAAATTGATTCTAAATTGAAAGCACGAGGAAGAGGCAGAGACGCTTCGAAGCTCTCACCTAACCTCCCAACTTACAGCTACCATACCAATAGGTTTCCATTTTTCCCAGAAAAATAAACCGCTCTATTTCCTACTCTGTTTAATGGCTTTTTCCTTTAATTATCTTGTTATTATTTTGATTTTTTTTTCTTATTTTAAGAAATAATTTGGTTAATTTTTCCAGGAATCGAGGTGTGACCATTCACTCATGCACCGGCACATCTCTCGAGTGTAATTAAAACTCAAAGCTCCTCTCCTTTCTTCTCTTCGAGTTAAAATTCATTGCATCAATACATGGGAAGTCACCGTCACAAAGACCTTCAGAAGAAGAAGAATTCGAAGGAACTCCACAAACCCAAAACAACTCACCCTTCAAAAACACTAAAATGGCCACATCTACCATCCATGCAAATTGCTCCAGTGACTCCAACCAAGTTAAAAGTCCCAAGAGAAATGCTTCTGCTGCTGTTGAGACGTGTGGAGAAGATGAAAAGAAGCCGCTTTTTCAACGGGTGTTTAACGAAGACGATGAAGTGGCTGTGTTGGAAGCTATATTAGAGTATTCCATCAAAAAAGGGACTAATCCTAGTGCTGATATCAATGGATTTTATGATTTCGTAATGAAATCCATTCACGTTGATGTTACAAAAGCTCAATTGAAGGACAAAATTAAGAGGTTGAAAAAGAAGTTCAGAAAGAATGCTAAAGGTAACCGGACCTTTCTCAACTCGCATGCCCAAAAAATCTTTGACTTGTCCAATACCATATGGGGTCAAGAAGTGAAAGGAAAGGAAGCAATGGAAGTTGATATGGGAGAAAGCAGAGCAACTTTGGAACACAAGTGGAGGAAATTAGAAATCGCTGAATTGGAAGTCTTTTTGCAACGAAAGAAGTTGATAGTAGAGCAAGCAAAGTTGATGCTGGAACGATTAAAATCTGAACAAAAATAGGGTATCGGTTATATGGTATTAGGTGTTCATCTTTAGGTTATTTTGATGCTTTGGTATCAAGGGTTTGCTTTTATGTTTCGTTAAATATATTTTTCTATGTTTTGATAAGTCTTTGAGATTGTTTTCATGTTTTGATAGTTGTCTTTATATAGCATGACTGCTAAGAGTAACTATGGTTTGATGGTTACTTTATAATAATTTGGTGCAGGTCGATAATGAGAAGCTTAGTTAGAGTTTTTACTTTTTTATAATTGAAAAAAAAAAGAGATTAGTAGGGGTTCATGCACCAACCAATGAACCAAATATTCAAGTGCGAAGCTTAGTTGGAGGTTTAAGCAAGGTTAATTGATTTTGGGTCTAAACCTATATTTTTTCCAAGTTAAAATCAAGGTTACTGTTGTATTATCTTCTGTTTTCTTGAGTTTCAAAATGTTAAGGTTATTCTCATAATTTTTGAGATTCCTGGTAATTGCAGCTGATTGTGAGATGCTTATTGTAGAATCTTGTTTTGAACTCAAGTTTGACAGTTTCCCTTTTGAAGTTTTAGTAATTGTTAGTCCTTATTGGACTAAGAACCCAAATTGCACATGGACATGCAAGGCTGGGAAGTAGAGTCCCTGAAACTATTGTCCATGTCCTTTTTGAGTTGTTAGAGTGGAGGGACACATTGCCCCTGCTAAGCTCAATTGCAGGCACAGAATGTTAACATGGGCAATGGATAGTTTTAATACCTAAGACTTGGAGATGTTGTAAACGCTGTGAAATAGGTGCGTTTACTTGTAGCAGATTGTTCGAAGATTTGAAACAGGCAATTCACAATAATTGTTGCCCATGAGTTTTATTGTTATCATATTCTGAAATGGTGATAGCAAGTTGAAATTGCGACACACCTCCACAAGGTTGCCCTTTCGATCTGTACCTTCTATTCCTTCAAATGCTTATGGTTGACATCACTTGACTTGAACATATCAATTTAGGAATCATCCCTTATCTCAGAAGCCCCAGTACCATTCATGCATCCATCTTCAAGCAGGCAGCCTGGTTCAATTCCTTTAAACTTCTCCATGCAAAACAACACTTTTGAAGCCAAACACCAACCCATCAGAAACACTTAACACACTTCCAACAACATCAGCTGGACATCTCATGTTAAAAAACTGCCTCTTCCCTGTCATTTGAAGCTCCCTTCTGTTCCTTTCTTGGCTTTAGCTCTTGCCACTGCCTCCCTTACCATGTCTGCCAGCAGCATATCCTCATCTTTCTCACAAATGAAACCCAATTTATTCTCAATTGAGCGAGCAACCTTCACGTATTTCATCAGCACGTCACTATTATTCTTGAATCCCCATTTGATAAAGATTTATTACCATGTCAAACTGCAGTTAGGAATGGCAACCTACTTGCTAATTTTGACTTACCCGTACTTGAATACAATTATAAAATCTAACATCTTTACCCTATCGAATCTAACTTACGAAAAATCCGATTAAAGCGCGATAAAACTTAAACCCATTCATTTAGTTACAAGTGATATAGGTACGGGTTACAAACCTGACCTTACCTGACTTGAATTTAATAAAAATAAATAAATTTTAGTCAAAATTAAATCAAAAAATGCAAAGTAAATTTTATACTTAGACTATTTATAAATTAAAATAAATAATATATCAATTATAAACAATACATACAAACAAAAAATAATATAAAATATAAAATAAATATTAAAATACTCATTAGCTATTGTCGAGTTCAGGTAATAGATACATAAGATTAATATTGTTCACCATCCGAAAGCATTTATAAAGTACCTTAATTTTACTTAAATGAGCTACATGCAACTCATTTATAAAATACTAATAATGAGACTGGGATATGAGGTGAGGGAAACTATGGTAATGGCAGGCATAATACATACACTAAAAAATAATATAAAACATATAGAACCTCCAAAAAACAATAATCAATATTCAGCTAAGAATGGCAATGTGCCTACTAATTTGATGCTCATGCCTTTATTTTTAAGGGTTTATAAAATTTCATATTTACTTTTTGATGAGGTGGCAGTATAAGATTTAGTGACAGTTTATAGGAACTATGCATTGATAATGCATCACATATAAACCTTAATTTTATTTGTACCAGTGATCCCATCGAAAAGTGATAGTGTAATTACAATTAATGCTAACATCTTTATTAAAGAGTGCATATAATTTTAATTGTACGTGCGATCTCTCTCGTAATATTCTTCTATCTAATATATATTTCATTATTTATAATCAAGTTTACATAACAAAAATTTTTATTTTACTAACATATCCTATCCAAACTCATTTATAGAATGCCCTAATCTTACTTAAACGGATTAGATAGTATCGTGTTCTTGTTTACATACTACCCATTATCATCCTTAGACAAATGGACTTGAAATGACCAAAAAGGAAAGGAAAAATAATTAGGAATTTATCCAAAATGACGACATTTCTATAGGAAAAGATTTGAAAAGAACTAATAATGAGATGAGGTTATATATAAGGTGGGGGCGCCCTATGGTATGTTTTATTGGGATAAATATCAAATTTGCCGTTATACTGTATACTTAGCTTATTATTTAATTTTGTCCACATACTTTTATATGTGGATGATTTTTGAATAAGAGTTATAGTGAAAATATCCGTGAAATATTTTATTTATAAGGTTTAAATAAGTTTAGAGAATGAAAAATTGTAATATTGAATTTCACAATTTTTGCTTCATAATCATTAAAGCAAAAGAATTGGTGTCATTTTGTGTCACCAGGGCCAACTCTAGGGTAAAGCCAACAAAGCCCTTGGTTTAGGTTTCAAATTTTCATAAATTTCATAATTTTATAATAATATAATTAATTATATTAAAAATATATAAAAATTAATATAATTAATAAAATATCTCTATATCCTCTCATGCTTAATAAATATTTATTTTCTCTCCCTTCCCACATCTCTATTAATTCTCAACTATTTATATGATTTTTCATTAAAAATATGTAAAAGTCAAAATAATTAATAAAATTACACATTATGTACCTCATAAATCTCAATTTTTTATCATTTTGCAATTCCTACATTGTTATTAATTCTCAACTACTTCTCCTATTCTCAATCAACTAATGATAGTATGTATTTACTGATGTCCAACAGCTATTTTTTGTATATATAAAATTAATTATTTTTTTAATTTATAATATCTACCTATGAATTTTTTTTTCTTTTTTCATTTTCTCTTTCTTTCTTAATATCAATAAAAAAAGGCCTCATTTTCTTAATTTCAAAAAAAAAAAAAACTTCATTTGAATATTTAGCTTTAGGCCTTTAAGGTTATTAAGTCGCCTTTGTTGATTGGTATAGGAGACTCGAACTTAGTAGAAATTGTAACACTCCCGACTTTGATATGGACTATGGGATATGTCAACTAAGCTATTTGAGGAGTTAATTTAAATTTTGATGTATGTGTTTAAAGATTTGAGAATATGATTATCTGTATAGAGAATGATTTTGGAATTTATTTTGTACTTGAGGACTTTGATGAGACTTTGATGATACTTTGAATAAACTAAGTGTATGAAAAATGCACCATGACACTTAGGCAATTTGTTAGAAAAATGATTGATGAATCTTAAATTTGAAGTTTAGATTAAGATTGAGATTTAATCTTATATTTGAATATAAGCGTAAAAATCTTGAGTTATATGAATGATTTGAAGTGTTTGTGTTAATGAAAATGGATTAAATGCTTAAAGAAGTGACTTTGGGGACTTGGGAGGAGTGAAAACTAGAATCTGGGCATGATCTATAAATAGATGTGCTACATCTATTGATAGATGCAAAATAGAAAACACAAGGAAGGCAAGTTTGAAGAACATCTATCAATAGAATCCACATGATTATCTATAGATGTCCACCTAAGAATCAAATAAAGCCTATTGGACAAAAACTATTAATAAATTCATGGAATCAATCGATAGATGGCCACATAGGATGAATATCAAGCAAGTTGAGAAGCATCTATTGATACTCTCGAAATCTATTGATAAATAGCTAAATAGGAAAAATATGAAGGGTCCAATGCACCATCTATAGATAGATGGAAGGTCAACGTCAAAAATAATAGCGGGATCTATCAATAGATGCATGCATCTATTGATAAATGAGTGTGAAAATGCAAAATAAAAAAGGGTTTCAAGTTGTCCGTTCATTTCAAAACAAAAAGAAAATTCTCCCCACTCTCTACCCTTTTGAAACCCTAAACCCCCAATAGAATTTAGAGCTCATTTGAAGTGGATCTGACCTTAGAAAAGCATTATTAAGGTAAAGTCAAACCTTTCTACCAATTGATTTTCGATTTAATCGGTTTATAACTTTGAAATCCATTTGCTTTAACTTTGGTTTTACTCCCCTTAGACTTTGTTAGGAATTTGAAGTTGAGATTTGGTGACCCTAGGACTTTGTTAGGAATTTGAGGTTGAGTGGTGTCCTTCCCTTGTGACTATGTTATATGCTTGTAGGGATGGAGGTAAGTAGGGACGGTGGTAGAAGTCCTACCTACAATGCTTTAATGCCATCCTTTGAGTGATTTTCGATTGATGACTTTGACTTTTTGTTAGTAACTTTGGCACTAGGCATGATTTGAACTATCCACTAGTCACTTCGTGTCATGCGTGATTTGACTTTCCATTAGTTACTTCGACACTAAGCATGATTTGACTCTCCACCGGTTGCTTTAGCATCATGTGTGATTTGACTCTATTGAGTAGTCACTGTACATGATTTGACCATGTCCAAGGAGGACCACTCGTTGATTGTGTATGATTATGATGATATGCATTGTGAATGGTAATGTTATGAAATATGAGCTTGTGATTATCGATATGAGATGAATTATGGTCAATATGTGATGAAAAGTTTCAAGGTAAGCAAATACGATCATTGAGTTTTGATGTGAATATTTGGCAGTTATGTTGTGCCTACAGACCTTGGCTTCGAAAATGGCTATAAGGTAAACTTAAATTGGATATCGATCATTATGAAGTCATAGGTTGGACTGATCATGATAGTGGCATGTTGTTTGATATGTAGTTGTAGCTAGACTTAGTTTAGTGTAATGTGGGTAGAGATATTAGAGTGATTCACACACACTTGACATCGAAGATGTTTGTTTATTAGTTATGCTTACCTTATGATGAAGCTTTATTATATGTCTCCATATACAGTTGTGCTTATGTTAATACCACTCATTGAGTATTAGATGACTCATCCTTTATGTGTACCATGTGCAGCTAAAGAAACTACGAAATTGCATGGTTGACATCATCTATTAATAGACACATTTTGGCATTCGATAAGTTTTTTTATCGATGTTCGAGTTGTAATAGCTTCTGCTTTTGGTCTTGATTTCCCATTTATGTTTTACTTGGGAATTGTATAGGCACGGTGTTACCCTATATTTTTGTGTTAAGGGATGTATGGGACGAACCTATTTTGTTAGTCAACGTATGGCTTGAATTATCATGACTAAATGTTTAATTTGAAACTATGTGCCGAGAGGTAATATTGTAAATATTGGAATTATGTTATAAAATTACTACCATTCTTTATCGTATTTATAAAATCTCTTAATCTTACTTAATGCCATTAAGCCTTTCACACACTAATCATTATCTTCCCTAAGCGAATAAAGCTGCATTGGCCGACAAAATGTACTGGAAATCCAAGTGCTTCTCTAATATTTTAAAATACTAAAAATAAGATGGGGATATCAGGTGAGGGAATACGTACACTAAAAAATAATATAATAAAATAAAATAAATAAAAATATTTTATTATTTATATTTAGGTTTAGATAATAGTTACTCTAATTCTACTGTCGTATCCTAAAATACTAATAATGAGACAGGGATATCAGGTGATGGGTATTTAAAGCTAAAGAAGATGCTTGGCATGGTGAAGCTTGTATTAGAGATTTTAAATGAGGCAATGTTGGAATTAAACCAAGTTAATTTGTAGTTAAATATTGTTGATTATGTGATTTGTTTCCATCATTTACTTCAACTTTTCTTTGGTGAGATGATAGCTATTCACAGTTAAATCTCTATAAATTAGTACCTTAAGATCATGAAAATTTATTAATTAATTGAGATATTACTTAGTTGATAAATTAATAATTTATTAATTTATATATCAATTAAGTTTTTCTAATGCTTAATTGGTCTATAAATTAGTTGTTTGGCATTATTCTTGATATTGAAATTTATCGCGCGTAAAGATACACTCAAAACAATAATCATATTACATAATTTTTTTTTACAATACTAGAATATTATATTAATTTTTTTAATATATTGAAAAAATTAAAGATAAGGTTTAATGAGATATCAATTTGAAAAGAAAATAAGTGACATTGAAATTATATTTTACAAAACCCTCTTAATTGAGCCATGTATTTATATATATATATATATATATAATTTTGATATATAATAAAATTATTAATTTATATATCAAATGAGATTTATGTATATTTTTTTAAAATATATTATTTTATAAATTTAATTAATTATTAATTTATGACATTGATCTCAAATCAAAATCTATCAAAAATATTACTTAATCAAACTTATTAATTTATAAAAATTATACTATGATTGGAATTAAAACAAGGCTATAAAAAACTTTATGTTGCCGTCATTTCGAATGCAAGAGGGGTTTTGGTTATTGAAATTTTAATTATATTTTTTTGCTTTGCTTAAAAATATTTTAAAATTTTGTTTCTATTAATTAATTATTTTTGGTAACATTAAATCTTTTGTATTTATTATTATTATTTATTGATTTACGTAGCAATTCTTTTATGAACGAAAACAGGCTTTGATAAACTTCATCTAATCGAATATCAGTACCCGATGACTGTTTACGTACATGAATCAGTTCTGCAATTAGGATTAACAGAACTAACTAAAAGATGATATCATCCCGAAGATCATGGGGAGCCAGCTTCTGTCGATTGCTTTGTAGTTACCGTTGACCGAACTTTCTTGCTGCTTTCATCTCAGCAACCACTCTTTCCAGCCTGCAAACCTTTGCTTCCACACTCGCGGCGGTATCATTGAGTTCCGCCATTGCTGTTGACGGCTCCCTACATGGTGGAAGTTCGTTGCTTGCGGCTGAAGAGAGAGAGGTTTGAGATTGAGACGATGAGGTTTTGCCGTCTCCAGCATCTTTACAGTCAACACCGTCGTGCTTGTGCGGAGGTTTCAACATTTCCGCTATTGCCAGTTTGCCTTAGAAAGTTTTTGCGGCAGTCACTGCCGCTTTATATTCATCGGTAGAGTATCTCCGACGTTTCGACTTTCACTCGTTGCAGATAAATTGAAAAAATTAATTAAATTCTGAAAATTTTAATTTTAAAAAATTTAAATATTGAGAACATTTTTAATTGAATATTTTGTAAAATTTGAATACTGAATTTAATTGAATTTTTTTTGCGGCTGTCACTGCCGCTTTATATTCATCGGTAGAGTATCTCCGACGTTTCGACTTTCACTCGTTGCAGATAAATTGAAAAAATTAATTAAATTCTGAAAATTTTAATTTTAAAAAATTTAAATATTGAGAACATTTTTAATTGAATATTTTGTAAAATTTGAACACTGAATTTAATTGAATATTTTTTTATATTACTTTAATTTATTTAATATAAATAAATAAAGAAATTATGATGAGGCTATAGGGATCTTTCCCTCCCTGATTGGATTTTGCCGCCTCTTTTCTTTATTTTTTTGTTAATAAAAACAGTAAAATGTTATGTTTTGGGGACTTTAAGCTACGACTTAGGGAATTGATTGAAAATTGAAAGCCAGAGAGAGAGAGAGAGAGGGGGAGGGAGGGGCAGACGCTTCGAGAATCGAAGCACTCACTTTCCCTCGAAAATTACAACTATACCAATATCAATAGGCTTTCGTCTTGCCCAGAAAATATAAACACCTCTATTCCTCAATCTCTGATCTCATCAATGGCTTTCTGGGGTGGCTTGCTCTTTCCTTTTCGTTCTTCTGATTTGCTGTCTGTAATATGTTTTTTTCTTGAAAGATGTAATTTGGTTGATTTTTGCAGGGATCGAAGTGAAACCTGGAAGACCATTCACTCACTCACCTCTAAGCTCGAGGCTTCATCTCTCCCAGGTTTTATTAGTTAGTTTTCTGGGGTTTTTTTTTTGTTGGGTTGATGATTGATTCTTTGTATCTGATGGGACAATCGAAATCCTTAAAATGTATATAAATATATTTTGTCAGGCAACGTTAGGAATGGGCAGTTCAATGCAAAAGAGTATAGTTCAATGTAATGTGGGAAACAAGAGCCCAGTATATGTTTGCTGTTTGTTTCCTGATAAGGCAGAGTGTTGTCAACTCAATTTGGAATTTGAGGAAGCTCATGAAGTTGTTTTCTCTGTCATTGGTCCTCGAAGTGTTCACCTCACGGGTTACTATCTGCCCAATTCCTCCTCTAATCATCCCAATGACGAATCGTATCCTTTTTTTATTATTCTTTTGGAGTCTCTAATTTGCTTCAAATGATTGTTTTCTTTCAATTTTTCCATTAACTATGCTGCTCAGAGAATCCTACGGGGAAGATATTGGAGAGTCAGACACAGAAAGATCAGAGAATAGTGATGACAGCGAATATGGCGGCAGTTTTATTAATGATGATGATCCACCAAATATCCCATCTTCTCCAGACTTCACTGCTAAAGGTATGTCTGACCTCACCCCTTTAAATGCTTTGCATTTTCTTCTTTTCTTTGAATCTAGTTTTATCTGTCCACAATGTTCTCGCTAACTCTAAGTCTTAGATACATGTACCATGATTGTAAATATTATGCAAAAAATGGTCTTGCATATGAAAACTTGTTTTGACCATGTCAATTAATTACATGTCCAAATCTGTAAATTAAGGTCTCAAGTGACAAGCATTTTTGTTCCATAATTATGTTCTTTAGTTTAATTTTCTTAAATCGTTTGGCAAAATATGCATTGGTAACTGTTTTCTAATTCAAGTTCATTTGTTGTGTCTGACTTCAGCAAATGAAGAAATCGTTGACTTAAAGAAATCTAAGAATGGGAAAGGAATGCGGAGAAGGCTTAGAAAGAAGTACCAACTAAGTGAATCCGAAAATGAGGAAAGTTCTCAGCAAAAAGTTTTCACCAGTGCTGTTGCTGGTACAGAAGTATTGGACAGTGAATTTGAAGATACCTTGCCTATTTCCTCTTTCTGTAGGGTAAACAATGCTTCGGACAGTGGAAAGGCTACTGTGGAGGAAAAAGCTAGGAAGGAAATAGATAATCTTAACAACAATGAGACTGAAGACATTGTTTTAATGTCGGAAGGGACTAATGCTGCAATAGGTGTTAGGCCTGAAAGGTAGGATTGTTGTATGACTTAAAAGAAACAGATAGGCCTATCAAACGATAAGAAATACAATGCAATAGCTGAACAAACTTTATTGAGAAGAGGGCCTGAGGGTGCCAACTATTATCCGTTAAACTTATGGTTGTTTGCTTCATTTATCATTTCTGGCTTTAGTTGATATGGTTTAACTTTAATTTATTTGTACTGGCTTACAGTGAATCAGGTGTCAGGAATGAAGAAACACAGAAGCTTGTGCTTGGTGTTGATGATGGTATGCCAAAGAAGAAAAGAGAAGTGCCGGTAAAGGAGGAAAGATTTTCTGAAGATGATCATGGCATGACTGGAAAAACAGTATTGGAACAAAATGAGCAAAATCAGAAGCTGGCCAGTAATGAGTGAGTGTTATTTTGCTTAAAAATTTTCTTGTTTAATGAATTGTGCATTAGAGTGTGGAAAATGACGTGGAGGAAAAAGCTAGGAAGAAAATAGATAGAATGAGACTCAAGATAATGTTACAATTTTAGAAGGGAGTAATTAAACGAAACAGAGAAGCCTATTAGTCGATAATGGAATACAATGCTATAGCTTAGTCAACTATATTGGGAAGAGGACCCTGAGGTGCCAACTATTATTATGTTTGTTTGCTTCATCAATCATTTCTGGCTTCCAGTTGATTTGGTTTAACTTTAATTTATTCTTACTGGCTTACAGTGAATCAGTTGTCAGGAATGAAGAAGCACAAAAGCTTGTGCTTGGTGTTGATGATGGTATGCCAAAGAAGAAAAGAGAAGTGCTGGTCAAGGAGGAAAGATTTCATGAAGCTGACCATGGCATGACTGGAAAGGCAGTATTAGAACAAAATGAGCAAAATCAGAAGCTGCCCAGTAATGAGTGAGTGATATTTTGCTTAAAAAATTTGTTGTTTAAAGAATTATGCATTGGATAATGGAAAATGATGTCGAGGAAAAAGCTAAGAAGGAAATAGATAAAATGAGACTCAAGATAATGTTACAATGTCAGAAAGGACTAATTAAAAGAAACAGAGAAGCCTATTAGTTGATAAAGAAATACAATGCAACAGCTTAACAAACTATATTGAGAAGAGGACATTGAGGTGCCAACTATTATTATGTTTGTTTGCTTCATCAATCATTTCTGGCTTGCAGTTGATTTGGTTTAACTTTAATTTATTCGTACTGGCTTACAGTGAATCAGTTGTCCCGAATGAAGAAACACAAAAACTTGTGCTTGGTGTTGATGATGGTATGCCAAAGAAGAAACGAGAAGTGCTGGTCAAGGAGGAAAGATTTCCTGAAGTTGATCATGGCATGACTGGAAAAGCAGTATTGGAACAAAATGAGCAAAATCAGAAGCTTGCCAGTGATGAGTGAGTGATATTTTGCCAAAAATTTTGTTGTTGAATGATTTGTGCATTGAATAGTGGAAAAGTCAACATGGAGGAAAAAGCTAGGAAGGAAATAGATAAAATGAGATTGAAGATAATGTTACAATGTCAGAAGGGACTAATGCTGCACTAGGTGTTGAGCTTGATATGTAGCTAGGTTTGTTGTGTGACTTAAAAGAAACAGAGAAGCCTATCAAATGATATAGAAACACAATGCAATAGCTTAACAAACCACATTGAGAAGAGGACCTTGAGGTGCCTACTATTATTATGTTTGTTTGCTTCATCAATCATTTCTGGCTTGCAGTGGATTTGGTTTAACTTTAATTTATTCGTACTGGCTTACAGTGAATCAGGTGTCAGGAATGAAGAAACACAAAAGCTTGTGCTTGGTGTTGATGATGGTATGCCAAAGAGGAAAAGAGAAGAGCTGGCAGAGGAAGGATTTCCTGAAGCTGATCATGGCATGACTGGAAAAGCAGTAGTGGAGCAAAATCAAGAGCTTGCCTGTAATGAGTGAGTGATAGTTTCTTAAAGATTTTGTTGTTTAGTAAACTCTGTGCTTTCATGTTTGTCCTTATCTTAGTTATATGTTTTTTAAGGAATCATTCTTGTTTTTAACAATCAGTATACAATATGTTATTGTAGGGAAGAGAACTTTCAACATAGTCTCTTGCTAGCTTCCACTAAAGTGGCTCTTGAAGATGGTGCAAAGCTAAAGAGGAAAAGAAAAGAACAGGTAGAAGAGAAAACATTTGAAGACAATGTTGCTGAAGAAGATAAAGGCCAGAAAAACAGTTCAAATATGGATGCCGTAACCCTGGATGTATATGTGGAGGATAAGGGCACTCAAAACCAAGTTAATGAAAAGTAAGTGTTCACTTACTTGAATTGTGAATGGCCATGTCTGCAATTGCAATCTTTTTCATTTTCTATACACGAAACATCTACCTTGGTTGCATGAGTTGAATTTGCCTGCAAGCCTTTTTATTCTAGTTCTAGTCTGGTAATGGCAAATCTTAGCCATTAGCTATTTGCATGTGTTTTAACAGTGATACTGATCAATTTCTTTTATAAAATCAATCTAGGAAGAGGAAAAGGAAGAAAAGGCGCAAGAATAAGGACAATGGGGATGCCATGAAGATTGAAGCACCTCTCTTATCAGGCCTTGAAAGGGATAGATCTGTTGTGGACATGGATGGCCAGAATGCTAATGACAAGGCAATTCAGCTGTCAAATGGAATGATCATTGAAGAGTTAGAACTGGGGAAACCAGATGGCAAACTAGCTTCTCTTGGTAAAAAGGCATGTAGTCTTGATTTACTATTTTGTCCATTTTGTAATGAGTATGCATATTCTTTTCTTGGAAGTTCTGCCATGTTGAACTAAAGGAAATTATATAAAGAGTTTTGTTTGAAAAATATTCTCTTGGTGTTAGGTTCGTGTCCGTTACACTGGAAAGTTGAAGGAGAGTGGAGAAGTATTTTATTCAAGCACTGGAAAAGCTCTGTTAAAGTTTCAGCTTGGTAGGCATCTTTTGTTAAATTATACTTTGCTAGTACAGTGGTTTTTTGGTCAGTGCCTAATCCAAAAAGGTATTATCTATTCAGCTTCTTATCATATTGCATAGTTTTTTATGAACAAATGTGCCTATACATTCTAGGGAGACTGGTTATTGGAGAGAGTGGGCAAGTATTTGATTTAAATGCTGCTGTTTGCGAATGTGTATTTGTTTTACGAACTTTTTAAGTTAGGACTTTTAACTATGTTGCTTTTACAGGTAGGGAAGAAGTTCCAGAGGTATGGAATGTTGGAATTGATGGTATGAACTTTGATTTTGTTTTCATAAGCAATTTTTTTCCGTTAACAAATTGAATGTCCATTTTCCTAAAATTATGTTCCTTATGAGCATAATGTGTTGTGATTTTTAGGTATGCGAGTTGGTGGCAAACGTAGACTCACTGTTCCACCATCAATGAGGTATGCAATTCAATTTGGTTAAATACTCCAAGCTCATTTCTCTATTTTGTTTTTACTCTTGGTCTGGTCCAGTTCCTTCAGTGATGTACTTGGGTTTGTTTTGCAGTTATAGAAATGAAGGGGCTAGTGAGAATATTCCACCGGACTCGAGACTGGTTTTTGATGTTGAATTGGTTAAAGTCAGGTGAAATGGTCGGCAGTGTTTGTTTTGTTTAGTCTTTGCTAAAGCTGGCTTGATGCTTTTGACAAGTACAAGTTTTTGGTAATGAGCTTAGATACTTGCAACTAGTAGTTTAGCTTCTAGACTTGGGATTGTACAATGTCTGTTGCTTGGCATGGGAAGGTTTGGAAATATGTAGCTTTGGCTTTATGCAATTAAAGTTCTTTTTTGTTGAAAAAATATGTATAATGCCTTTTATAGATTGTCAATTGAAGCATATATTTCATCAGGATTTTCCCCTCAACTGAGGATTGAAAAAACAAATGAAAGCAGAAAAATTGGCAATTGCCACCTTGGCCAAATTTCATAGACAAAAAAATAAAATAAAATTTATGTGAGGAGCATGTCAAGTCAAAACTATTAAACTAGGGACTTATGTGTTTTGCTTTGAGAAACTTGAGGAAAGAAGACATAATCAAATGTCATTTGATTCTTAAAGAAATCCAAGTTTTTGAGTCTCCAACAGAAGCAAAATAAATAAATAAAAAGGACAAAATTGAAAAAAAAAAAAAACAAGATTAAGAGATCCAGTGCATTCTAAACCAATAAACCTCAATGGATAGCCCAATTATAACTCGTAAATTTGATTAATATTTAAATATTTTTCGTCATTCCCCAAGTCTGAATTTGAAAGATTAAAACAAAAACTTAATAAGTAAGAGATATAAATCTTATCTCTATGTAATCTAATGAACCAATATGCCATTGAACACTAGACTATACATAATCTTGTGTTGCTGTTTTTATTGGGATTGTCTTTCATACAAATGAAATTATGAGAACAAATAATTTTTGGAATTGAACTCATGAAAATATATATATTTTTCTTGGAGTTTATGACAAATAGCAGAAGGGAAGGCATTGACAATTAATTTAGCCTCGTTCATGTAGTTATATCAAATGTCACCATTGAAGATGTACTCAACTGTGTAATCAAACAATAACACAATATCATTAATTTAGTTAGTGAAATTTTTTAAAATTGCAATAAATTGCATGATTTGGGTTTATCTCTCTATAGGTAACTAACTGTACATTTTGTTTCAAGTTATCAACCAAACCCCATCAACTGAAATCATGAAAAGGAATGTCACAGATAACAGATGAATTTGCTTGTAAATAGCTGAGGAAATAAAGATGAAACGCACTTTATCAAGATTGTACAAAGGAAGAAAGGAGGAAGGATAAAGTGCAACGGTTCATTTAAAGTTTTACCATTAATAGTTTTTAAACAGTTGTTAGTTAGCTAATCATTGTAATTGGTTTTTTTTTTGTCCTTTTCTCACACATGTACATGTAGTATATATATAGCCCATTTTCTCTACACTTTTTTGATGATGAAATGAATCAATATGATTCTCAAAAAAGTTCTTTGATCATTTCACTATTCATCATGTTATCATAGTAGTAAAGTTCTTGCAGAGATCGATTAAGGAAGGAACAGTTATTGCAATAGATATTTATCAACTGCATTTTATCGCTCATCATCTTTCTTCAACTTTACAGTAAGTTGAATCATTTTCTTTTCTCATATTTCTATTTATTCCAATAGTGAATCATGTCAGACATGTCTAATCAAGGACTCAAACCTCACAAACCACCATTGAACCTAGATCAGTAGTATCCCCTATTGCAAATCCTCATTCTCCTTATTTCTTGCATCATACTGATCATCTTAGATCTGTTGTGATTAATCCCAAGCTAACAATAAACAACTTTGTATCTTGGAGTTAATCGTTCTTATTAGCTTTATCAATCAGAAATAAAATAGGCTTCATTAATGGAACAAAACCAAAACCAAAGGTTGCAAATCTATTTACTTTTCTTGGATTCATTGTAACAATCTATTAGTAGCATGGCTCCATTCCATCACGCAACCCATTGCATCTACAATGTTTTATATAGAATCAATAATGGAAATTTGGAACACTCTCAAGCAAAATTTTGATTAACCAGATGACACTAGACTTTGTAATCTTCAATATAATTGGAGAAATATAACTCAGGGGTCCAAGACTATTGATTCTTATTTCATAGAACTTAAGGGAATTTGGGAAGAATTGAGAAACTTTAGACCCTTACCACATTGTGAGTGTGGAAAATGTAATGAAAATTACTTCAAAATGTATTCTAACCAATACTAGAAGGACATGGTATTAAAATTTCTCAATGAGGTTAAATGATTCCTTCTTTACCATCAGATTGTAGAGCATCTTGTGGACCCTATACCAAGTCTGGATAAGGTTTACAACCTTGTTTTGATAGAGGAAACACAAAGGAGCCTAATACTTCAAACACAACCTGTATTGGAATTATCGACCATGTTGACTGCTAGTGATGGAAGGAAGAAACCCAAAAAGGACTTGTTATGTTCACATTGTGGCAAAAAGGGACATATCAAAGAAAAGTGCTTCAGATTGGTTGGTTTTCTTGAAGATTTTAGGTTCACAATGTCCAAATGAAACTTCAAGAAAGGGAAAGTTATGTCAAATAATGTTGCAAGAGTGAATGAAGGTCAATTAACTAAAATGCAGTTTGATCAAAATGATAATTTAGCTGGTAATGGTTTCATGTCTCAACTGTCAGCAATCAAGCAACAAGTCAGCAAGCTATTCGAGCTCTTGAGTGAGAATGCAATCACTTGTAATGATGGTAAGGCACCTTTATCAAGCAATCAGCAAAACAAAACCATCCCTGGTGAATTTTGCTTTTGCAGGCATTATCTCTAACCTTCCATGTTTCAATACTCCAAACAACCGACCATATAATTTTAAACATATTAGTAACCTTGTGATTAAACAAGATAGCTGGATTATGGACTCTGGTGTTGCTAATCACATTTTTCACTCTTTAGACAAATTCATTTTAGCTGAATCAATCAATGATTATTTTGTTTACTTGCTAAACAATGGTAGAGCGCCTGTTACACTCATAGGAATAGTTAGAATAACACCTCTGCTAGTAGTCAAAAATGTATTGTGTGTTCTCAGTTTCAATTTTAATCTTACATTAGTAAGAGAGTTGACCAAATCGAAGAAATCATGTCTCTTCTTCATTGACACATATTGTGTTATGCAAGACCTTCCATCATCGACAGTGATTGAGGTTGCTAGGGTGTCTTCTGGCTTATATCTTAGGTGGGATACCAAGTTGAGCAGGATCTTTTTATTATCATTTTAAAAACTTTGTCAAGAACTCTTGTGCTTTTTTTATCAATTCCTCGAAGCCACAATACAGAGATTTTGATCTTTGACATTTTAGATTGGGGCATGCTCCAATAGCAAAAATCAATGTATTACACCAAAAGTTTCCAGAAATCAATTGTGCTAATGATTTATTATGCTAAATTTGTCCAATGGCTAAGTAAAAGAGATTACCATTTCCAATTCATGTTCAAAACACAAAACTAGCTTTTGAACTAGTCCATCTAGACATATTGGGACCATATGAAGTACCTACTTTAAATGGTTATAGATATTTCTTAATAGTTGTTGATGATTTCTCATGTTTTACTTGGATATATTTGATGAAAAATAAATTAGAAGTTTCATAATTTGTACCTATTTTCAACAACTTGGTTCAAAAATAGTTTGACAATTTCATAAAATGCCTACGAATAGATAATGGTCAAGAGTTTAGGCTTATAGATTTCTACAATAAAATCGGTATTGTTCATCAACTATCCCACACAAGTATATCACAGCAGACTGGTGTTGTAAAGAGAAAGGACCAACATATTCTAGTTTTGGCAAGGGCACTAAGACATTAGTCTAATGTTCCACTTACTTTCAAGGGGGATGCAATTTTAACTACTATACATATCATAAACAGAGTGCCAATTAGAGTTTTGCTAAACAACTCACCATATGAATTAATCCTCCAAAGACCTCCTTCATTTGGTCATTTCAGATTATTCAGATGTTTGTGTTTTGCTTCCACACAGATGTCACATAGAAAGAAATTTGATGGCAGGGCAAACAAATGCATATTCATAGGCTATCCAAGTAATGTCCAAGGGTATAAATTGTATGATCTTGAAGCATAAAGAGTCTTGTTATCCAGAGATGTTGTTTTTCATGAAGATACATTCCCTTTTCATCTTTCAAAGTATGACAAACAGAATTTCACTTTTCATCAAACACTTGGTATGCATGCTATCCCTTTCGATGTTCTTAATTCAAATTGTGAAAATTTTCAATCACCTAACCTTAACTAAAGTGAATTATGTTCTGTCCACATCAAAAAATAATCAAATATCCCATAATTCACTTGCAAGCAGCGGTCTCCCTAGCAATGATAGTACTAATTAGATACAAAAAAAATAGACCTTTGAGATAACACAGCTAACTAGAAAAAACACAAGACCAAAAAGCATACCAAAGTATTTAGAAGCATATGAAATTGATTGACTAGCTCATACAACCACTGCCACTTCAAACCCCATATCCAAGTATCTTTCATCACATAATCTCTCACCACAATACAAAGCATTCACCATATCATTGTCAAGCATGCAAGACCTTACATCCTGTCATCAAGTAGTGACTTATTCATACTGGAAAGATGCAATGGCAGTTGAATTTAAAGCATTAGAAGAAAATGGCAGTTGGAGCCTAGTACCATTACCTACTATCATACTGTTGGCTATAAATGGGTTTATAAGATCAAGTTGAATACAAAGGGAGAAGTGAAAAGATACAAGTATAAGGGCATTTTTTTTTTTTGGAAATTGATTTAGCATATCATATTATTATCAATTATGATATGTTAACATGCCATATCATCATCAATTATGATATGTAAGCATGTCATGCTAGCTCCACGTGGCATAGAATGAAAAATAACATTTTTAACAAAGTCAATCATTAATCATAAAGACTTATTTGGCTCAAAATAAAAATATAAGTGCTTGATTAAACACAATAAAAGTATAATGGCTTATTTGAATTATCTTGAATAGTTTAGGGTTTTTTTAGATTTATGCCGAAGATTTTCAAAAATTCTCCTCCAACGAGGCTCCATAATTTAAAGAGATTTTGAAAGATTCTTCTCTAACGAAGCTTCACCAATAGACTTTTAGTCAAAACCAAGAGTCACCAATCGACTTTTAGTTAAAATTGAGAATAGAAGATTAAGTCTCATCATTACCAATAAAAAAATGAAGTTTAGAGATTCGAGTAGAGAGTATAACCATAAACAAAATAAATAA